TTTTCTGTGAAAATAATTTGTAACGGTAATCCATTACAAATAAGGCTCGGTAATTTGTAGTCGTAATTTTTCGAGTAACGGGTACAAGTCTGCCAATTAGTTACTCCAAAGGCGTTCCTTTAATCCCCTTTTCTCCGTGTGACATTTCGGCCACCAGGCCGCGTCAGTTTTCGCTGCGCACTTGAATAGGCTGTCTACAGCCTATTCAGGAGCGCAGCGAAAACTGACACGGCCTGGTGGCCGAAATGTCAAACGGAGAAAAGGGGATTAAAGGCACCCCTTTGGAGTAACGAATTGGAAGCAGGCTAATATATATGTGCCGAGGTGCTTGAATAGCTCTCATGGGCTAGGGGCTTCCAAGCGGGACTTGGAAATAGGACCCACTCTCCAGAGTCGCTTCCGTAGAGTATGTGGAGTAGAAAATGTGGCTCGGAGACGAAGTATACATTGTAATTATTGGAGCCGACGGTGCTTGTTTGAGCGTTAGTTTAGTAAACCTTATTCATTAGCTGATCAAAGAAGACGTCGCAATAAATCGGTGTTCATTGGTAACTATTTAGTGCGTAAGAGGGAAAACACAATTACGTATGCGAACTAGACGTATACCCGCAACATAAAGAGTTCGTTCGATCTAAAGTCTTGTTCACGCAGACAAGCGTGGCTTCGGATTTTTGCGTGGACGGATTTTTTTGGCTGCCGGAAATCACGGTTCTTAGCCACTTCCGGTTACTTTAAAACGTTTTTCAGCCCCCAATATTTTTGAACAATGTACCGTTTGATTTTGGTATCGCGTATAAATTCTAAATTGCGAAGGCCACGAACCGAACTTTAGCCGCATTACTTATTCTTTATAATTGCTTTAAAGCGGCTGAGAGTGACTTTCTTCCGCAAAGTAACGGGTGCACGCGGAAAAAACGTAGGTACCTTAAAGTGACTTCTATTATTGCACTACCCCACACAACTCATATTATCACTGCAGTGCGAGTTGCCAGAAAACAACGGCCGCAAGGTCGCGCGTTCTGCCCTGCTTGATTCTCGGACGCCAAGGACGCGTGTCACTGCTGTAACGATCCTTACGGCTCGCCAGAAACGCCGCCGCCCGTCCACTACATAACGACCCGTTCTGGCGAGCCTCCCAGTAAAGGCGACGGTACGCTGATTGAGAGATAAATTTGACGTGACAATTGTTCTCTCTCTCTTGTCTTTGCTGCGCTCCTCTCGGTTTTTGTTCCGATGCTATTTGTGTTGTCGATGTTTCGCGGGGGGAAACCTAATTTCCTCGAGGCCAAGCTGTAATTATCGGTATAACGATTATCCGAATAACGTTACGTGCAGAAACATCCGAGACGTGTATCCCCATCAGTTTAGAGCCACACTCACACTGTATAATGCATCACATACAAAATACACAGTGTTCGCGGCAGACATCGCGACATAATTATCTACAGACAAAACCTCAAGCATGTTTTCAAGCTTCATACGTGAATTTTTTTTTTTGGAACATGTCACAGAGTTTCAGAAAACAAGAAGCTAAATAACAACGACTACACTCTTCGCATTTACATGTATTTCTGCTCGCCTTCATTAATGGTGCTGCTCACCGCGGTGAATCACTTCAATAATATTGTTTCATTCTTGCGCTAATGAGCGCGCTCAATGGCCGACGTCATGATGCTAAGTGGTCGTCCATTCCTTGCGTAAAGTGATATGTTTTCATAGTAGTCGTCATAAAATCAATTTTTTTGTATGAATATTTAAACAGAGAGTAGGAATGCATGTATGTACCTTGTTCTAGACTGCCTTTACGCGCTTTTTACTCCAAGTATGGTTTTTTATTTCCCCCTTGCGAGCTCACACGTTAAAAAAGCGCACGATGATTTGGTACAGACAGCACGTTGGATTGAAGTCGAGTATCAGCTAAGCAGTGCACCAAGTGCAATCACTGTTAATTCAAGTATGGTATACTGGGCGTCAACTACCTTGCGCCTAGCACGGCCTGGACGCGAGCGCTTCCCTCTAAACAGTGCCATAGCCTCCTCTATACTGACAAAGCCTGGCAGGTCGCTCCGAGACGCGGCCGTCGAAAGTGAAAAAGTAGAGCGGCAAACAGCGGATGAGAGGAGAGCCACGTGACGGGCGCCCCGCTGCGGCGAGACGCCGAAACAGACTTCTCCGAGCGATGGAATGTCCGCTCGTGCTCCTCGCGTTCCTCGCGCGTCCTCAACGCCGCAAAAGCTGTGCGCTCACTACCAGCTTCCCCGAGTAATTCTCTGTGCTACCAGATCTTCGCGCTCCAAATCTGCGACCGGGCACTCTATGACTTCGTCGTCGAACTGCCAGGCTTTGTTAGTACAGAGGAGGCTATGCCATTGCTTTAGTCGCACGAGGAACAGCCTTCGAATCGTCATCTTCGATTTCTCGGATCAAAACCAAACAAGAAAATACGGCTTGTTGTCACCACAGCTCAAGCGTTCCGCTAGAGGCGTGACTGTTCCATCTCCTCCCCAATAGATTTGGCATAGTTGGAACACTGCGGAAGGAACACTATAGCCTGGATAACGTTACACAAAAAAAGTTGAAGCCAAGTATAAAGAATATGACTTTTGGTTTTTTACATTTAATTTCTTTTATTTCGTTCTCAAGTTGACATTTTCGCGAATACGCGAATGCATGTGACTTTCTGTCAATGCCAGTGAAGCAGAGTTAAAATATTGCTGATCAACCTGTATCAAAATAAATTGATTTCAACCTTGCGTCGAAGCAATATTGAGACCAATAGGATATTGCTTCCCAGCGTGTGTACATACGCGTCAACGGAGGATCGTCCTGTTCGCGGCGAATGAATATTTGACGCGCTGTAGCCGTTTTTCTTTCGCAATGGCATTTTGGAGTCTTTTAACTCTCGGCGTTGCGAAACTAAATCATCAACTTACAAAAAAAAAATAAATAGAAAGCAATTTTATTTTCAATGATTGCTAGCTTCGTCTTTTCTTTTTTTTTTTATAAAAAACGGGTATAAATTGCGTTCTTTGTCGTGAAATTGTGTAATAGAGATTTTTTTTTTTCATGCGTTAGAAATCAAGTTTAATACAGAAAAGTATCAGAGGGACGGCAAATCGTTGTTGAAAACCTGAACTAGACCCATTGCTTCACCGCGCGCTCCCTACACTTTTTTGAAAAAAGCAAAACAAGATCAATCGAGGGACAAATGTGTCCTTTCCTTTTTCCGATTCGTACGTATACACTGTGCACACCGGTGCTTGTGCAGCGGAAAGCGCTGACGACTTGCAATTTTAAACAAGATGAGGGTAAAAATATCTCCTGTTTTCTTTTTTCTTTAGGGTTATTTTTATGGGAAATGATTCCCGCCCTTCTGATCGCGCTTTTAACACTTCGCTTTCGTTATTTTTGGAAAAACTTCGTCTAGAGTTCTTGTCGACAAGTCTGAAATTGAACCTCACAATTTTATAGTTTCTTGTGCGTGCGTGCGTGCGTGTGTGTGCGTGTGTGTGTGTGTGTGTGTGTGTGTGTCTGTGTGTGTTTGTGCTTGTGTGTGTGTGTTTGTATGTGTGTGTGCACTTCTTTCATTTTGCTCGTCTTCTGATTAAACACTGCGTGGAGGTGTTGAGAGAGCGAAAGAATAAAGGAGAGTAATCGCGCTGCGTAGGCTCGTCAATCGACCCGACGCTGAAAATGAGACTGCCAACGGAGATAGGCATAAATAAAGAGCGAAACAAATATATACGAAGAGAGAGAGAGAGAGGGAAGACTGGGGAAGAAGTGAGATTAATGGAGACTCCATCGAAAACAATGTAATTTGAGGCTCAAGAAAAAAAGAAATTCGTCTTCGCCCATTCACCCGTATACGTTTCTGAAGCGTCCTCCTTTAATCACGAAGAGGCTGGGAAAGAAAGACGGAGTACGTATCTCTCGCTTCTCAGAATCCCGCTCGAGGAGTGCCGATGCTCGCACGGGGTTAAACGCCAAGGTTCTTCGTGCCTGATTGGCTCCAAATGGCCACGCTGGTGTTATAGTGGGACGGAACTCGTATTAGCGAGCTGGGTGCGGCTTCTATTCGCGCAAGAGGTGATTCATTGTTTATTACCCGCTGGCGGAACGGGCAGCCTAATGAGTCGTTGAATCGCTCGGCTATATAGGCGCACGCAAGGTGTGAGATATTTCGAACAGAGCCCGTGCGGATGCTCGGATCACAGTCCAGTCGACAAAGACGACTGCACGTAGAGAAGGTGGTTATCGAAATTGAAACAAACTGACATCTGTTGCGTGTACGCATTGGTAGCGGGATGTCAGTACATCTTTAAATGGTGACTCCCACAGCCAATCAGTCAATCAATCAATCAATCGATCGATTGATTGATCGATCAATTCATTTCTCTCCGTAGATGATCCGCCTCCAGCGCGAGCTTTCTGCCTTTGATAACACTTGTTATCTCGATAACACCATAGTAGAGGCGGAGCTTACGCTGACTTCTCCCGTCACCGAGCGTATATGGTGGTATTCATCGGTGGCCTGTGCAGCGATCACCGTGTCTTCTTTTCTGTATGATGTATGCGAGAAGTGCGACTGCGGCTTCAAAATTGCGTCTGATGTCTCTAATGATGAGAGATTTTGTTAGTGCAGTACACCTGCTGTCTTTAGCCTGCATCACGCACTTAAGAATTGAAGTGGCTCTATACCCTCTTATCCCCGATGTTACGAAAAAAAAAATATCAAGAGTAATTTTACTGCTTAACTTACGAAAAAAGAAAAAGACTCGAGACGCGGTGTTACGTAAACGTGCTTCTTTTTTGTGATTTTTTTTTTTAATTTCCTATGCTTTAGCTTATTGCACTGCAACCGCTTCATAACTCATCACCTCTGTGGTGAACAACACAACTTCAGATTCAGATGATCTCCTCGCGAGTATAAAAACCACGGATGAATGTTGTTGACGTGTCATGCTCAGGAGTTCCTTTTTCTTTTTTCTTTTTCTCTTTAGATCTTGTGATGGGGGACATCGCAATGTCCCGGGAGACGTACCGACGGCGGAGCCGGCAAGGCAAGACGGGGACCGGCTTTACTCTCACGGACAGGGGCCCCAGGTTCCACAGACAACGGTGAGCGCCTGCCGCACACGCTTTCTCAGTCAGAGGCGGTGCACGGCATTCTAATTTTGTAATTTTCTAAACCAAGAAAGTACACTTAAGTTTATCTTTAGCTCACCGCAGAATGCCGAACGATCACCCACCTTCGGAGAGCGCCCACTTTATATTTTCTAGTTTTACTTCCCCATTGTGGGTGGGCGTTCATTCGGAATTATACGTTCCTTCTATATGTGAAGTATAATTTTAATACTTTTTTTTAGTGTACTTTGTATTTTAGTTGCGCGGTCCGCGTATTGACCCCGTCCGGTAGCTAAGGCTGTACCTGCTAAATGTTGATTTAATTTGTTTATTTGCATCAGGTATAAGTACATGATACTGGAAGCCTGTGGAAAGAGCTGTCACAAGGACAGCTTGACGAAGCCGCAGGCCCCTGTATTGACATTTGTGCGGCACAAGCACAAGAGCAATCTACATACAGTTCAAATTCCAGCGTCAAGAACAAAACCTAGAAATAGCATTAGCAAGTAAATAACAGAGACATCGTCATACAGATAAAGTTCCAGAATGAAAAATACAATACCGGCACAAAGAAATAGCTATCTTAACCGCGCGATTCAAAGGAGACATAAGCACGCTTGAAATAGATTAGAAATAAGCATAGCGGCGCTTACGGGTTACTAATCTGCTCAATCTTATACAATATTATAAACATAGAGAATGTGTCCCCTTACTATACTGTTAGTAAACTACAAATATATTTGAATCATGCTTTAGGGAGTGTATAATAAAAGTCAAAAATCAGTGTAAACATTTAGTGTATTACTTTTTACAAGGGCCCTCTTGATCGAAACCCCCGATAGATCACGGTCAGGTACTTTGTTACAGGTTTAACATAAGAACTGCGGCCGTTGCGTTCGCTACTAGCGCCACATAGCACGCGCTCACCGAAACACATGTTTGACAAATATACAATAAGATATGAAAAAAAAATTTTAAGTTACAAATGAAGTTTTGTCTCTCGTGCATTGTTTAAGGGAGAGCCATTGTTATGTGTCGCTGACAATACGTAACGGTTAGAATGCCACTACGTTGCTGATTAAGGCACTCTGCTCGGTGCGGCCACCGCTTTCTTGTTGGAAGCTAAGTCCGCCACTAGCACTCCCCCTGTGTTACTTACGAAACAAGAAACAATAGCCCTCATTCCCCCCCAAAAAAAAATCGTTTGCAATTTTATTTACCCCAAATGAACCTTCTTTTCTCGAAGCTCCGACCCGATGACAGAAAGAGAGAGAGAGAGAGAGGAAGAGACGTAGAGAAAGATGGAAAGACAGAGACAGAGAGAGAAAAGAAAATTGGAAGCATTAAGGGTCACGCAAAACTGGTGCAGCTTTCTTAAAATATTCATGTAAAAATATAATGTCTATCTATTTGGTCAGTTTATTGCTACTGGTACAAGGGTGTGAAGTATCAGTTTCTCAATAGAAAGATTGCACCGTGCCCTATTTATAAAGAAACCTCTCGTAAGCCTCCGAGTGACGACGGCAGAAGTTTCGCAAAGAGGCTTATCTCCTGCAGGAGAACTGTTCTTAGGTTGTTATGCTCGAAAAGGATCCCGTTTCAATTTATTTTTACCAACTTGGACTATTCTCGTGGACTTTTGTTTCCTGCCCTGTAAAGTTGTGCGTGCCCAGATAATTCTCTTTTTTTTTAATTTTCCTTTTTGATTGATTACAGTCGGTGACAGGGCAAGAGTAAAGTGGGAGCCAGTCCCACCACTTTTTACTTTTGCAGAGCGAATGCTGGATGGGAGCTGATCTCCTCCACAGCGCTCGCTCTGCTAAAGTGGAAAGAGGTGGTGGGAGGAGCTTATACTTTGCTTTTAACGTGTCGCCTACTATACACGTGGACATGATCATGCCGTTTCTCATGACTATATAAGTGTTTTGTGGGTCGTGTCATGGGCAGGCGGCGTCACCGGCATCGGGAGCGCGCGGGCAAGAACCATCGGCGAACCCGGGCCGCCACTGCGAGGCCGGAGAGGCTCTGGGACCACGCCGTCATCCCCTACGAGATCGAGGCCAACTTTAGCGGTGAGATCAACATTCGCCACACTCTCTCTTTTTCTCCTCGGAAAGGCCTCCGACGATGGTACTATACACCACCACAGCGTTTACAAACAAGCCCGCTCTGCCTGCACCAGGTGTGGGCACTGCGCCTGCGCAGAAACGGAATTCGGGAGGAGGGAAGCGTCTGCGTATGCGCAGTACCGACTGCAGCGCCACCGCAGGGGCGTGACCAGGGTGTAAGATAGGCAGGTGGGGAAACAAGAGCCAAATGAGCGACCGGATTGTGTACCCCTCGGTTTTCTCTTGTTTTGTGGCGCCATCTATGTGGAGCACCGCGAACTCTCACTCCAGGTAGGCGAACGGTGGCGACCGGCTAAACTGACGGAGATGGTTTCTCGTGGATTTTCAATAAAGAACTGTCGTGCTCTCGGTTTATTTTGCCCCACTCTCCCATAAATTTCCACGCAAATCCGATTCCGATTTTTTTCCTCTCGCCGCAGCGCCATTTGTCGCAAATCGGGGGTACCCGCAAGCAGACGAGTACACAATCCGGTCATGGCGCTGCGGTAGGCTCTATGGGCCGTTTCCCCACATGCCTAGCTTACTCCCTGGGCGTGACGTCAGTGAGTTGCTCTATAGACGTTTTCTGTTTCCTGTCGTTCTCTGTCACGTGGGTTCCGTATCTGGTATGCGGGACGACAAAAATAATACAACATTTCAACCTGGAATATGGGAGAAAACATAGGTGATGCAAAGCAAGAAGGTGTGACAATCACGTATTTTTTTGTAAATACCTTCCAGCGGAGTGGAAAAATCAAAACGATGTTTTACCGCATACCGGAAGTGACGAGATTCAAGATGGCTGCGCACGTGTGGAAAAGGAGTATAGTCTCGAGCCTAGATCTCTGGACCGAGACCGACAACCAGTCCTGCATGTGTACGCTAATTAAAGAGAGAGGGAAAAAAGCTAGTTGGTTACACTTACATGATTAATCTTGTTTATAACGTATTCAAGTAGATTACGCGATTATTCGAGACGACAGGCAATTGACCGTTACTTGAAAAAGTAACAGCTACTTCTCCCGAATACTTCAGATATATATATATATCAGTGTGTCGAACCGAAAAGAATACGGGTTCGGTTACGATTCAGGTTCAGGTAAATTTATTTTGTTCCGGTTCAGTTCCGGTTAGATTAATTCGATCCGCGAGCCGGTTCGCGAACCGGTTCGGGGCGCTGAACCGGTTCGCGAACCGGTTCGGAAATTATAAATGACATATTGCAACATCAAAATAAATTACAAATAAAACATCTGAAATCAGCACATACGAAACGGGATACATCGTAGTGTAAGGCTCAGGGATTTCTACCAGGAATGGTTTCTTTATGTGCACTCAAAGGTTACCTCACCGACGTTTACGCATTCGGACTTCATCTAATTGGGTCCGACGCAGTAGATGTAAAATCCGCGACCTCCTTACAAACCCACTTACAAGTAGAACTCGCTAACTATCCCGCCACCTCGGCGTGTAAGCAATTGAAGGAACAATGGGGAGAAAATACAGCTTTCTTTATTTGAACTAGCCTTCAGTAACTCAAATTAGACCCTTAAAGAAGTTTTCATTAAACATGATACGGAATATGAAAAACACTTCACCGAACGCAACGCCAGAAGGACGTAATATAGGATAAATATTAAAATAGAAGAGTTCGCTGTCTCACAAATATGTTAGTTTCTAAGTGCCTATACGAAACCGGATGCATTATTATCAAACTCCACAGCCTTTTCTTTTCTCATTCCGATGGAAGCAAGCTTCAAGAACTCGCGCGTTCTAGAAACGTGTTATGAAATGAGCACACAGCAGCATTTAGGATTTACGAGATTGTAGGAAAATGAAATCCCGTGACGCGATTTTTTTTTTTTTTTTGCACAGTTTTTTTAATCTTTTTCTTCCGTGCAAGCCGCGACCAGCGCAATACTGGTTCCTATGTCAAGATTCATGGATGCAGCGCTGGTCAAGATTCATGGATGCAGCGTTTATATTCCTAAGACTGAGTGGAGAAGAAAAATATGAAAGCGAGGCGTGTGTCAGTTGACGGCACTTAAAAAACAAATGGCATTGTGGCACATTCATTGTCAACAGCGCGTGGCCGAACCGTTTTGACATGAGCCGGTAACCGTTATTTTTTTTTCGGTTCAGTTCCGGTTCGGGTTCATCGCGATAACAATATAACGGTTCGGGTTCAGTTCCGGAAAAAATACCGGTTCGGTTTCGGTTCGACACCCTGATATATATATATATATATATATATGAACGAATATGTGCAGATGAATGAACCGTACTTAATCCAATGAATCAAAGTTTCCAGGAACCCGCCGAAAGCCAAAAATTGGCGGAGCCAGGATTTGAACTCTGGGCCTCCCAATGTCCGGTCGGGTGTGCTAACCACTACACCACTCCACCTTGGCTTTCTGGCGTTTCCTACCTGTCTTATTATTAAGCGTCGTACCGCGTTCCACGCGGCGGCATATGTTTCCAGAACACCTCCGATTGGATACATTTCGTTTCTTGTGCATTAATAAGTGTATATATATATTATTGAAAAGCATGCTGTATAAATTAATCTATTACATTCCTACCGAGGAACCCGGTACAAACTTTTTACTCTCTGGATTAGGGGACTGGGAATCAATCTGAATTTTATATCTGGATTTCAGGTTTTCACAATTTATTCCTTTGTCCGCAATCTGGAGTTCAGGCTTACAAAAACAATTCCATTTAGATTTTTAGTTCCATAATCCAGATAGTGATATCGGAGTTTTTAATAGGGAAGTAATTGGATTACAAGTAATTTGAAAAATTGCAATGCGTAGCGTACGAGTCTGCTGTAAACCCATCAAGGCATCTCCTGACAGACGCGGGTGCTTCCGGCCTCTTCCGTGCACGCCCTCTTTTTGCCAGTCGGACTCACATTTTCTAACCGCTTCCAGCCGTTTCAGGACGATTTTTTCTAGCATTCATAATTTTAGGAAACGTTGTTGTTGCTCCTTGAAACCTGTCTTAAAATCCTATAACGAAGGACACCGTACTTTAGCCGCATGACGCGCCCTATTAAATCGTTTTCGAGCTGAACGGCGTCACTTCCTTCTTCACAGGAAGTGACGTCACTGGAATCACGCGTCGAACTCCCATGCAAATGACGCAAGTAACTCAAGTTGCAAGCAATTCTACTTTACATCGATCCTTTTTTTTTTTACATGTTTCTGACGTAACGTTAATGTTGTGGTGGTTGCGCAGGCTGTCAAACACAGCATGCGCACATGAAAGTGCATTTGATCGAATTTTTGAGAGGGAATGTTTCTTATGTCCGGTTGCACGACTAAGCTGGATCGGACTTCTATACTTATTTTCTGCTGAACTACGCAGCCGACACTACCAGCTGATGGGACCTACAAAGTAGCGTGAAAAACGCAAGTCACTTGGCCTTCCCTGTACATGATTGGTTCAGTGATGTTAGGACACATACAGAAACATGACGAATAGCATGTCGGTACGCTTTTGACGTTGTTTGATTGGCCTCACTTGCTCGCAGCGTCGGTTGGGTCCGGAGTTAGGGCAAAACAAAAGATAGTCGATTTTCATAATTTATTTTCTTTTTTATACGTTTATCAAAATCAGCACCTTTTTTCCAGCCCAGTGTATAGGTTTTGACGTGTCATTATTATAAGGAGTTCGGTCCAGTGAAAGCGAGAGGCCGCGTGTCGAAACTGCGACGTCCTTGAAGATCCCACCAAGTTGCGAGGGCGACTATAATTAATCGAACTCCGTCTGCCACGCCGCTCCGCTCGTCTCAACAAAACAGCCAGTAACAACCTTTCCCTCTTGATGCAAAGATTCTTCCCCAGTGGCCGAGATAAGAAAACAGTGGGCAGAGCTCCTTTCACCCTCTCTCTTCCTCTCTTTCCTTCTCTCTCGACAGCCCTGGTCCGTGCGCGAACAAAAGCCGCGAAGCGCACGCTGCTCGGTTTCTTTCAAGACGTGGCCCGGTATCGATCGCAGTCGAGTGTTTGGGCTGGCCGTCCACGGTGCCCCATGTAGTCACTCATGCGAACGTTGGCGGTGCAGCCAGCACACGCGGTCGAGGCGAAGCTTGCTGGGAGCTGCGTTAATTCCTGTCTAATCAGCGGGGATAAGATCCAAATTGAATCCCGGTACTAAGTATAATTTCCGTGACCGAATCAGGAATGTTACAGAACTTTCTTTTGTATCGTTAAAGTAACATTCGAATTCAATCCTAACTCAGGTATTGGGTATTACTCCTGAGCGGAATCGGGATCCTTTACAAAATTTTGCTTTAATTGGTGGGAGTGAAATCCGATTTTAATCCCAGCACCGGAACTATCACGCAGGGACGGAATGAAGATTGCTACACAATTTCGATTTAATCAATGGTGGTAAGATCCTAACTTAAACAAAACACGTATCCTGCAAAAACAAAAACAAGACTGTTTCTATATCCGGAGTACTGAAAATATAAATAAAACGTCTTTAAGATTGACCCAGAGAAAGAGAGTTCATATATCAATAGCAAAGAGTTTTTCGCTAAAATGTTTCATTGTTTGTGTCAGTGATCATGGATTACGCATTAAATATTGTACACTGGGTATTTGGTTTTCAACGTGTGCTCGGTCGTATATTTTCTTGTTATTGTATTCTTCACTGCTACCTGTGATCGATGTCGTTTCGGTTGCATACGGTAAACGCATACGGTGCAGATATATGCATTTTCAAACGTACTTGACTAGAGCAAATACTCACCCTACCCTCGGCTTATTTTTGTCTTCTTGTATCTGCTGGAACATGTGTTTGCGATTGTGTAGAGCTACGCGTAGTTGTTACGAGTTCCATCATATCTGTGCAATATCTTCGGTTCACAAAAAAAAAAATATGCCCGAACGCAATTGCGTTTCCTTGAATTAAACTTTACTCCCGCGCTTTATTTAAGTTTAAGTTTGGCTACC